TCGGTGGCGTTGGAAAGATCTTTCCACGAACTTTGCAACCATAACTGGAAATCCACCTAAATCATCCTGAGCTAGAATTTATGGCTATCCAAAGTTGGCCAAAAATTCACATTTTCCATACTTAGCCAAAATTTCCAAAACTTTAAAATTCTTTCCAAAAATGAAAATTTCCAATTCTAAGCCTCTTCAATTATTTCACATTGCTGGATGTTACAAGTTCATTGTCTAGCATTTCAACTCAAAGGTGTGGTCAGTTTTAACAGCATTTCTTGTTTGTTGCAGGGCCCTTCTCTGAAGAGACCTCTGGAACTTGGTAGACCTAAGAATGCTTTATATTTCCTATGTTCAAAGTGCCACAATTGTTGTTCATTGTCTACTGGGAGCAAGAAACCTTATGTGATTTCCAGTCATTGTACTTTTGTTCCTTCTTTAGCTAAGTGTAATGAAGTTTCAACACCACCTACTGTAAAACATTCTTTTGTTGATAATAAAGATGGTTGTCCTAAACTTGATTCTTCTTCATCATGCCACATTACTGATTGTTCTTTTTTTTTTGTTAAATCTAATAACTCTCATATAAATGATCTCTTATGGCATTCTAGACTAGGTCATGTACCTTTTGTAAAGATGAAAAGTACTCCAACTATACCCATTCCTTTCTCCACCAAACAACCCTTCATTTGTGCCATATGCCCTATGGCTAGACAATCTAGAATGCCATTCCCAGAAAGCACAACCACCACTAGTAAAGTTTTTGAGTTGATTCACGTTGACCTATGGGGACCATATCACATCCCTACTCATGATGGTTATCACTATTTCTTGACCATGGTAGATGACTTCACTAGATCAACTTGGACACAACTACTAAGGTGTAAAAGTAATGCCCTACAAACGATTAAGGCTTTCATATCTCTTGTGGAGAATCAATTCCAGACCAAATTGAAAACTATTAGGTTTTGATAATGGTTTGGAATTCACTTCTACTGAGGCCACTCATTTTTTCCAAACAAAGGGAATAATACACCATAAATCTTGTCCATATACACCCCAACAAAATGGCATAGTTGAAAGAAAACACAAATACCTCCTTGAGACAGCAAGAGCCCTCCTATTTCAGTCTAAATTACCCATGAGGTACTTGGGAGAATGTGTACTAACAGCCACATACCTCATCAACAGACTGCCTTCTAAACCTTTAAACAATAAAACTCCCTATGAACTGTTATACCATACACCACCCACATACTCTCATCTAAGAAGTTTTGGATGCATATGCTTTCCAACTACTTTGAAAACTCACAAGGACAAGTTTGAACCAAGGGCAACACCACATATATTTGTTGGATATCCATTCAATACAAAGGGATACAAGGTATTAGATCTAGCAACCAAGAGAGTTCATGTGTCTAAGGATGTTATCTTTCATGAGTCTGTGTTTCCTTTTGTACTTGTTCCTGATGGTTCCAGTTTTCCTTCTGTTTTAAAGCTTCTAGTTCATCACTCAAATACTTCTACTTATACTCCAAATTCAACAAGCATGCTTTCTGATGATGAATTACTGGACACTAACATATTACATGCAGTCACTACAAATCAAATAATCACCAATACTGATGAAAACACAGCCTCACCTGTAGACCATGATATCCATCCACCCACCACCACATCTTGTGATGTTATACTTGCCCTTAGAAGAACAACTAGATCACTTCACACTCCCACTTACTTGAAGGAATACAATTACAGTCTTCTTAACCTGCATTCTACCATAAGCACTTCCAGTCCACACCATTCCCTCACCTCTTTTGTATCCAACGATGACAGTGTTTGCTTCACAACTTTATGTTCTGATAGTCAACAGTTAATTGAAAACATGTCACATGACTGTGAACCTTTCTCATATGAAGAAGCAATCTTGCATCCTGCCTGGCAAAAGGCAATGACACAAGAATTTGAAACATTATATGCAAATAACACTAGGGAACTGGTCCCCTTACCCAAAGGAAAGAATGTTATTGGTTGTAAATGGGTCTACAAAATCAAACACAAGGCATATGGTAGTGTGGAGAGGTCCAAGGCAAGGCTAGTAAATAAGGGGTACACTCAACAAGTTGGAATAGACTATAATGAGACCTTTTCTCCTGTGGTCAAGATGACCACTGTTAGGACTCTCATAACCTTGGATGTTAAGAGGGGGTGGAACCTTTATCAATTGGATGTCAACAATGCTTTCCTTCATGGTGATTTGAATGAGGAAGTGTAAATGACATTGCTACAAGGTCTTGTAGTGAACAGTCAAAATATGGTGTGCAGATTGAGGAAATCATTGTATGGCTTGAAGCAGGCCAGTAGACAATGGTATGAAAATTAGCCAGCAGTCTTTGTTCAAGAGGGTACATACATTCAGATAGTGACTACTCACTATTTCTTAAGAGAAAGGGAGATTCTTTAGTGTTTGTTGCCATATATGTAGATGATGTGATCTTAACTGGAACTGACTTGGAGGAAATCAACTCTTTGAAATCCTTTTTACATGATCAGTTCAAGATAAAAGATCTAGGTAGATTGCATTACTTCTTGGGGTTAGAAATATTGTACAGGCCGGATGGAGTTCTTATTTCACAAAGGAAATTCACCACTGACCTCTTGAAGGAGTTTGACTCTTTAAACTGTAAAATTGCAACCTCACCAATTATACTGAGAAATTGAAGGCAACAGATGGGGAACTATTGTCTGATCCTACCTATTACAGAAAGTTGATAGGGAAACTCAATTTTCTTACAAATACTAGGATGGATATAGCTTATAGTGTGCAGCATCTCAGTCAATTCATGCAAACTCCTAGGGAACCACACTTGAAGGCTGGTTATCATGTTCTGAGATATTTGAAACAAGATCCTACAATGGGAATTTTCATCTCGAACAAGCCTGATCTTACTGTAAATGCCTATTGTGACTCAGACTGGGCTACCTGTCCTGATTCAAGGTAGTCAGTCAATGGTTATCTAGTGCTTATGGGTGATAGCCCTATCAGTTGGAAGTCTAAGAAACAAGCCACATTTTCTTTATCCTCTGCAGAAGCAGAATACAAGGCTGTGAGACAAGTAGTAAGTGAGCTGGTATGGTTTGAAAGGTTACTAAATGAGTTATCTGTGAATTGCTCCTTGCCAATTCAGGTCTTCTGTGACAGTCAAGCTGCAGTACACATTGCCAAAATCCAGTCTTCCATGAAAGGACAAAACACATAGAAATCAATTGCCACTTTGTTAGGGATAAACTTCAGCAAGGCCTGATTACACTTCATCACATTTCTACTGATTCACAATTAACAGACATCTTTACAAAGGCTTTGACTGGAGTTAAGCATAATACACTATTGAACAAGTTGTCTGTAAACTCACTTACCTCCAACTTGATGGGGGGTGATGAGAATATAAGTTAGTTATTACTGTTCACTATTCACAAAAGTTAGTTAGATACAAGTTTGTTATAGTACTGTTAGAGTTAGTTGCAGGAAGTCAGTCTGTTTTCATTTCGTTAGATAGTCTTAAATTAATTTGTATATCTATATATAGATTCAGATGTAATAGTTACTCTCTTAATTCATTTTCAATGAAACGGAAAGCCACTTGACTGTAAGGAAAGGGGCATGTATCCTTATTTTGTAAAGAAAGAGGGCTACTTCACGAGCCGCTACTAATAATCGAAAAGGTTCACAGCAAGTTCAGTCTATAGTGACAAAATGTAGCTTTTCCAGAATCTTCTTCTTCCTCCTTTCTCATATGAACTCAAGGTTCATCAATGGAGGAGTTCGATTGTTTAACATCACAGTGTGTTGATTTTCTCAGTGGTATTTATAACTGTAATCTTTAATTGGGGCTAATCACTCCATTTCAGTCTTTCTCTTTTGAGACTTTCCCTAGTTGTTCATATGTAAATACAAAAACATTAAAGTATTGATATAATTTTAATTTTCAATTGTTTGATTGAGAGTTTTGGAGGGGGAAGAAGTGTTTCTTTGCTGATTGAGAAAGGAATGAGAGGAGAGAGAATTACTAATAACCATGGTTAATGATATTTGCTCAAGAAAATTAATTTGGTCCATTAAAAATTAAATGGACATGTGTCAACTATATGAAATAGCTAGCACTGGGGGAAACTGGAGAGGAGCCTCGTCCGTCAAATTTTACCCTTTTCTTTACCAATATTTTTACAACTTTTTTTTTAGTCCTACCTTTAGTGAAAAAAAATATATTCATACAATTATTTATTTGTGCTTTCACAAATTCATTTGGTTGTAAACACGAATACCAATTTGAGCACAAAAGAGACGAACAGATTTAAGGAAGATGGATAGCCAACTTGAGCGTGAAAAAGATTTGGGTAAAAAGTGTAAAAGAATCATATACTTAATACGGTGATACCTGAGAAGATGAAGAGAATTGAGAGTGTGGTATGAAATTAAGGAAATATTGCGTCCATTGTTTGTTTGGAATGTGAAAAGAAGAAGACCGATGATTCTAGAACGTGATATGTCGGTGTCAAATTACAAAAATAACCTAATAGAAGATAAAAACCTAAAGTCTATGACTTACTTTTTCCAACATGCATGAATTCGATCGGTACAACTAGTAATATTGTGAATTGTAGAGGCTGCAATTAATATGTTTGCTAAGCTTTGGCTAGCTGTTCAAAAAGTAAAAATATCAGTTGTCTTCATGCACTTATAAAAGGAAGCTTGGTGCACTAAACTCCTGCTGTGTATGGAGCTCAGAGAGGGCCGGACCACAAGGTCTATTGTACACAATTTTATCATGGTGTCAAGAATTATCATTTGGGTCAACATTTAAAGGAAGGTTAGTTAGTTCGTTTCATCTCGATATTTATTTTTATGTAATTTGTTGTGAATTGATGAATATGGAGTGATCCTTGTTTTGTTTGGTATTCAGGAAGACTAGAATCTGTGTTTGTTAGTGTGTTAAGTTGAGAATAAAGGCAAAAGATAGCAGACTTGTTATCAAAGTAATGCTATAAAAACTTGTAACTTGTTGAAGTGCATGCAAGTTTATATAATATTCTTAATTTTCATTTGCTGTATATATATATATATATCTATATATGCTTGGATGGTCCAACGATAACCGATCTTATAGTCTCTTTGGATGTAAATTCTTCAGGCTGAGATCGATGATATCATCCGAAGAGACTAACTGGTTACATTCTATCATTGATATATCGTTACATGAAGAGTCGACACAGAAAATACATTTTCATATTCCAGATACACTTGTCGAGAGTACTAGTGAAGAAGATTATCAAAAGTACTACGAGCCCCGTGTGGTTTCCATTGGTCCATTTCACTACGGACGACCTCATGTTGAACCCATGGAGAAGTTCAAGAGGAAAGCAGTGAGGGAATTGTTACTTAAATCCTTGAACCAGGATTGCTCAGACGAGCTGCTGGCATCCGTTGAACAAGTGTATAAAAGTGTTGAACAAGACTTGCTCAGTGCTCAGAATTTTTATGACATGTCTCGTAGGGATACAATTTCAGACAGTGAGTGGTGTCAGATGATATTCCGCGACGCCTGCTTTATTATTTACTTCATCACTAGTGACAAGAGGACCTGGTTAAATAACATGAAGAAACGTAATAGACATTTGGTGGGGCGTGACATTTTATTGCTTGAAAATCAATTGCCTTTCCAGGTTCTAATCGTGTTAGCACGCGCATTCAAATGTAAAGAGTTTCGTATCGAGGTTCCAATTCCTCATGTATTTATTCAATATATCTCCCATGTTTTCTTTCGTTACGGACTTCAGCAGGGGGATGCTCAACATCCTGTACATCTTCTTCAATATTATAGAAACATATGGGTCAAGATTTTATTTAAAGATGATATCAACGACGAAGAAGAAGAAGAAGAAGAAGAAGAAGAAGAAGAAGAAGAAGAAGAAGAAGAAGAAGAAGAAGAAGAAGAAGAAGAAGAAGAAGAAGAAGAAGAAGAAGAAGAAGAAGAAGAAGAAGAAGAAGAAGAAGAAGAAGAAGAAGAAGAAGAAGAAGAAGAAGAAGAAGAAGAAGAAGAAGAAGAAGAAGAAGAAGAAGAAGAAGAAGAAGAAGAAGAAGAAGAAGAAGAAGAAGAAGAAGAAGAAGAAGAAGAAGAAGAAGAAGAAGAAGAAGAAGAAGAAGAAGAAGAAGAAGAAGAAGAAGAAGAAGAAGAAGAAGAAGAAGAAGAAGAAGAAGAAGAAGAAGAAGAAGAAGAAGAAGAAGAAGAAGAAGAAGAAGAAGAAGAAGAAGAAGAAGAAGAAGAAGAAGAAGAAGAAGAAGAAGAAGAAGAAGAAGAAGAAGAAGAAGAAGAAGAAGAAGAAGAAGAAGAAGAAGAAGAAGAAGAAGAAGAAGAAGAAGAAGAAGAAGAAGAAGAAGAAGAAGAAGAAGAAGAAGAAGAAGAAGAAGAAGAAGAAGAAGAAGAAGAAGAAGAAGAAGAAGAAAGCGACATAAAAGAAGATCATCCACCTTTCTCAGTCACAGAGTTGAAGATAGTAGGTATCCGATGCAGCTGTGCGAAATCCATTCATAGCATTTTCTTTTCCGCAAAAGACATCCATCTTAAACCATCTATGTTATCAGGGACGTTATTCCTTCCACAACTAATTATCGACGAAGGGACAATGACCTTTTTCTATAATCTAGTTGCTTATGAATATTCGTGCAGCTTAGAATATACATCTTTTGGGATCTTATCTTACTTGAGTTTCATGAGTATGTTAATTAATGGAGAGGAAGATGTTAAGGAGCTGCGAGCCAGGGGAGTAATCCAGATCAACCTCAAGTTTGGCGATGATCAAGTGGTTAACTTCTTGAGAGATATAACAGCACATTATGAACCCAGTCGTCTAGCTTTTAAGGATGTCAAACGACAACTTTCTACTTACTTCAAAAGTAAAAATCTTCTCCCTCTACGAGTTGGCTATGCTGAATTTAAGCAAAGGTACTTTAGTGGTCCATGGAGTTTCCTTGTATTCCTTGCTGTTATTTTCACGGTTAGTATGACTGTAATTCAGACTGTTTTCACAGGCATTCAGACATACAAAAAAAACTGACTGAGTACCCCTATCAGTATTTCATTCCGCTTTTTTCTTGAGCTCTTGTATCTTCATGAGTTGTTTTTTGATTGTGGTTGTATTTGAATAAATCAATAACAAGGCCTTGTTCGGCTGCATATTTGTATGTAATTGCACTTTTTCATGTATTTTGATTGTGGTTGTGTTTGAATAAAACAATAGTAAGGCCTTGCTTGGCTGCATATTTGTATGTAATTGTACTTTTTCATGAATTCGTTGTATTTTGATTGTGGTTGTATTTGAATAAACAATAATAAGGCCTTGCTCGGCTGCATATTTGTATGTAATTGCACTTTTTCATGTATTTTGATTGTGGTTGTATTTGAATAAACAATAATAAGGCCTTGCTCGGCTGCATATTTGTATGTAATTGTACTTTTCCATGTATTCGTTGTATCTTGATTGTGTTCTTACTACAATAGTAGAATATGGTAATGTTCAAATAACTTATAGTCATGTTTTGATCTCAAACAGCTAACAGAGCAGTCATGCTTTGTATGTGCCATTTCATTTTGCTTGTCTCGAAAATATGATGAGAAAGTTACAGTAGACGAATGATGAAAAACCTAAAGTCTATGACTTACTTTTTCCAACATGCATGAAAGATCCATCATTAATTGAGTAGGCATTTGGAGATAGACTTGGTTGAAACTTAGAAAAAAGAGTTTTAGAAGTTGAAAAAGTTCTCACGAAGATTAGTTTGTTCGTTTCATCTAGGCATTTGCCTATGATGAGTTTAAGCAAAGGTACCTTAATGATCCCTGGAATTTCCTTGTGTTCCTTGATGTTACTTTCACGGTCAGTATGACAGTAATTCAGACTTATAAATAGACAGACTGTGTACCTCTATCGGCATTTCATTCTGCTTTTTTCTTGAGCACTTGTATCTTCTTAAATTGTATTTTGTTTGTGGTTGAATAAGCAATAATCAGGCCTTGTTTGAAATTCGCGTTTGTACATTGTTAGAGTGGGTTAGAGGTTGAGAATGAGCAGGTAGTCTGCTTATATGAACTTGGGTAATCCTCCCTCGTGAGCTAGCTTATGAGGTTGAGTTAGGCCCAAGAACCATGTCTTTACATACATAATTATACTTTTTCATATGTTTATCGTATCTTGAAGAATAGTC